TGGCCAGGTCGCATTCATCTGACCTGAACGCCATTAATACCCGACAAAGGGAACTATTCTGGGTCTTGCTATGAAGAAGCGGCAAGAAAAACAACAACCATGGCGGACAATGATGCGGAGAGCAGTATTTATGTTTAACCATTTTGAAACATTGTGTTTTTATGGTTGGGAAAGATTGCTAGATGCGCTCCGGCACTACCATCCATGTTTACTACCGTAAATACAGAGCATGCTGGCCTGTGACGTCATTGCATCCTCTATTGCACATGTGAAACACTTGCAGTTCACACATGAGATCACATACAAGTCGCATATATTGGAAATGTGAACGGCAACACAAAAAAAAAAACCGAATTCAAAAAAAAAAAAAGGAAATGAGCATCAAGGCCTGCAGTGTAAATGTAGCCTAATTGAACTGGCACTTGGAAGCATACTGCTTCCTCATCCTAGCTCCTTTCTTCCTGCCAGCAATATTCGGATAGGACGTATTTTGGCAACAGCTGATGCAAAGTATCCTAACCAATTTGAGGTATTCTAATTGAGCCGTAGAAGCAGAAGGGTCGATGGCAAAAGTGGACAAAACATTTAAGGTGTGACAAGTAAGCTTCAGGTCAAAGGACATGTCATTGTGAGGAGAAGAGAATGATATTAAACTTTTTCCTAAACTGAGCCTAATGAAAAATGTATTTAGTTTATTGGCTCTGTTCAGACTTTAGTCTGTCCAATACTCCTTCTACTTGAAGCCTTTGATCTTCCTCATACCTTACCATGCATCTCTTTTATTGTTTTGCAGGAACTTATTCTCTAGCTTCTATTTGCATGCCTCCTTGCTATCTCTTGTCTTGACTTTAAGTTTTCTCTATATCCTACTTATTCACAATCTCTCTGACTGAAGAGTTTTCTAGCACCTCCTTCAGATCAATGTTAATTCAGGGTTTGTTATTGGGGAAGCATCTCAACATTTTCATGTGGATTGTATAATCCACACAGAGGTTTATGTAATCAGTCACACTCAGTCAAGGTACTGATGCCTTCTCCATATGGCTAGTACAGTGTTTTCTAGTCTGTAACCTTAAAATAACCATTAGCTTCAACTGTCTTTGACCCTTTACTGACAAGTATCTTATTATTGGTTGCCTCTTGAAAAACAGCTTGTATTCTGAGAAGATAAAAATAAGATTTTAATCTGATTTTGCAAGTGGTGATCTTGCTTTAGAGTAGTACAAGGCTATGACACTGGCAGAAAACAAGTCCAGAGTTTTATTTTTTTAGTAGAGAAAAAAGTAACCAACTGCTGAAATGTAAGTAAAGCAGAGGGTGAAGTGTGATTCAAGTCCAGTTATTTCTACAAAAACATAAAAGAGTTGCATCTGTAAATTAGCAATGACTGAGCCAATAACCTCACACAGTTTCTGTGATAGCAGATAATGGAAGAAAGAAAATATTCTTGCCACGGGGGAGCTTGGGTAAAAAATATTGCCTAAAACTTTCAGCTAAGTTTATTATCTTGTCTGCAAAGAAGAAATTTCACAGTGGCATGTCTATTGTTCACTGCTGATCCAACTCCTCTGATTTTGCCACTCTTCCTTAAATCTCTGTCTGCTCATAGGGTCAGAAAATCCAGTAAAGAGACCCTGGAGTCCAATATATAATCCTGCAGCCATGTTTTAGTGAAACACATTTAATCCTCAGTATTCTAGCTGGTTCCTTCTTAGGGTTTAGACTTCATCCAGCTTGTTTAAAAAGATATCAAATTGCCTAAAAAAGTGATAGAACCGAAATCCTTTTGTCTCTTTGCTCCTGCTTTTCATCATTTGTGCTCCTTTTCAACTGATCTTGCATTTAAGTATTATTTCAGCTTTTAGGTTCTTATTTAGCTGCTCCAGCTTTTTAAACAAAAACAATTGGTTGCTATGATCATGCAGCATATAAAATTGCCCAAAATAAAAAAAAATGATAATAATTCTAAGCAAAAATCCTTCTGGCTGGACAACATTCAACACCAAACGAGCTTATCCAAACTCTATGGGATGTTTTTTTGTTGTTAGATGAGATTATGGAAAATCGGCCTCTGGTCTTACAAATAAAAACCTTAAGTTCTCTTTGGAAATTATGAATGCTGTGCCTCCAGGCCGGATAAAAGAGAGAGCATCTGGCTTATTTTAAATGCACAATTCAAAAGCCAGCCTCTTCAGTGATACCAGGCTGCATTAGTCCACAAAGCATGAGCAACATTTGCACATCAATAAATGCACCCTCATTGCAGAGCTATAGAGACAGCTCATGCAGCAACATATGCAGCCATCCAGTTGATGAAATCAAACATCCAGAAAGAAAATATAGCAAATGGTTCTACGTAACTCTGTCAAACATTTTTCAGGCTTGTTTTGTCAATTGTTTGCTGATCACCAAGAGAGAATATATGAAAAAGAGAAGTATATAAACTTATTTAAGGTTCGTTTACATAAAAGGAGCACTTGTTCTTTCAAATAATTTTTAGGCAAGAAACTTTTTCTATAAACCTATATCATCTTTAACTGGTTTTACTGACCTTTGAAAGACATCATTTTATCAACCATCCATCTTGATGCAAATGTATTGGATTTTAGTTAGTGTCAGCTAAAGGTATAGAGGACGATTTTTTTATTTCCAGGTGGATCACCTAAATAAGTGGTCCTCCTAATTGTCCATCATTCTGGTGATAAGTTTACGAAAGGCCATCATTAGCTATCTTTTTTTGCACATGCACAACTTCAGGCGTATATCTGTGTTGAGCTACAGTTTCAGACAGTCATTGAAGCTCACCTTTCTCACCGCGGTTCTTTGAAAATGGCAGAGGGACGTAAGAGAAAAAGTGTTAACGAAGTGTATGAGAAGAAAAGATAGGCCTCAGAAGAGGCAGATACATCATGGAGAACTCTCCTCGCAAAGCATTATGGATTTGCTGTCACAATGGCCCGCTGTTGCCATAGGCTGTCGCTACCTGACAGCAGAGACTAATAATAAAGATGGCAATGGCACTGCGCAGTGGGGGAGGAGTTACGTGACCAACAGGGAGTAAAAACTAGTGATCATCTTTCCGAACGGTAAGTTAACTGATTTTGCTATGAAGTCTACTACGTATATGTATAGGCCCCGCTCTATATAATAATTGAGGGATTTAGGGGTTATATTAGTGCAGACGTTCGGTCACAGTAAGCTTGTATGAGCTATGAGAACAGCAACTTTTAATCAGAGCGTGCACGAGATGAAATGGGCTCATGCATGCTCTTGCACACGTTTAATAGATGTTTCCTTTCAGGAGCGGATACAGGGTTGTGCATGTGCATTTTTTTTAAAGTGGAGAGGGCAGGTATTTTAAAAAAATTCGCAAAAATCCTCCACAATACCTTTAACAACATTTATAAATGCATGTCAAAATATACAACCATAATTTTATGCATTAGATGAAACAACTATAATACCTTTGTTGGAGGGCATACAGTATATTCTCCAGTGATATTATTTGCTGGTTCTCAAGTTTTTCTCTGCTATTCTTTGTTATTTTGAGAAGCCATGCTGTTTTTGAAAGGGCTACTTATCTGAATCAGAATCAGAACCAGACATACTTTAATAATCCCAGAGGGAATTTACTTTAATAATCCCAGAGGAAAAAATACTTTAATAATCCCAGAGGGAAATTACTTAAAGAGGGAAATTACTTTCTGACAAGTAAGTCAGGTACAAATGAAAGATCAGATCAAGTTAAACCACATTCTTTCTTAAATTCTTAGATAGCTAACATGAAGTAATACCATAGTAAAAGTATCTTTAAATTTCACAAATTTCTGATGTTTCTCCTTATCACTGCTCTCAAACAGAACATCGACAATGGGAGGGGGGTCAGTTTCCTGTTTCCATGGAAACAGTATTATTGGAGAGTCATGATTAGAATCTCATTTAGAGAATACACGTCTGTTTATTCGCAAATGAGGGACATGCATTGGATGAAAACTTGATATATAATTGCATGCATACGTTTGATGCCAGCACACGTACCGTTTTTATCGGCCCTTCGCAAAATCTGCAACCAGAGAGAGGAAAAAGTGAGATGTCAAAAAAGGTGACACTTCATCAAAGTTAAAGTGGATGTGTGTGTCAGTGTGTGAGAGCAGAGATCATTGATCACACTTGCAAAAGTGGCATGTCGTTGAATTATTGATCGTTCTGTCCCAGAGTCCACAGGAGATGAAAGAGAGCCAGGCGATGACCACATCAGCTTCAAACTGCTCAAACTTCCACTCTGAAAATAGCTTTGGCCTTTTTCTTTCAATACAAATTTTCTCTAGTAGACTTTGAATTAGACAGAGGCCAAAGAGCCTAAATACCAGCCACACAGATTTCAGATGGAAGAATTTATTGATTAACTCTGTATGTCTTTGCCTTGGTTGCATTCGTTCTAATTTCCACTCTTTCTCATAAGGCCATTACAACATTTATCCTTGGCCCCTTATAGTTTGATACCCCCAAATAAAATTCAGTGCAACCAACTGTCCTACAAGTTGTTTAATTTGTGAATAGAGTTGATATGCCCAGAAGTTTGTTGTAGAACATTAGTTAACATAAAAAATCGAGAAAAAAAAAAAATAATAATAACAGCAGACAGATCAAGATAAAACTGAGGAGAGGTATAAAGCGGGGTCAGGTTATAAAACAACCAAGGCTTTGGACATGAAGATCCATGGATCCAATCTATTATATATATAATGATGACATGTAATTTATATACACAGTAATTTGAATTGGTCTGCCACATAAAAACAGAATAAAACACACTGAAATTTGGGATTTCGCCAAGTGTTCATCGGTAAGAACAAAAACGATTCACCTGCAATATGCACTACTGCTCGTTTCTCCTCATATAATGCTGGAATAGCACTTAAATGCTTTATATAAATTCTACAGCATTTAGTCAATCACAGTTTTAGCTGAATTAAATAATCCACAAATAATGAAATATGTTTTTGTTTTTATTTTTTTAAAACAAGCCCTTCTTAATAAAATGTAAGTCCTATCTGCATCAGCATTGTAATAAAACCATTGTTATTTGAAATGCCTTCTCGGATTAAATTATCATTTGTTGCCAGAGTTAATGCCACACAGTTCAGAATGTGTGTTGAAATCTGCCAGCCATATTCCACTCCGATGCCAGCTGTATTTTCTTTTCTGGCATTTCCACTGTTTGACACTATGTGACACATCTGAATTGTTGCTTTGCACCCAAAATAACTTGCAGCTATTTGCATTAAGCATTCCCTGTAAACACCAAAAGAAGCCGACGGGTTTTTTTTTTAGAAGGGCAGCGCAGGTGAATCAAAGCACGGTGGAATGAAGGGAAATAATTGTGAATAATAGGCAGAGAGACTGAAGATAGGACATCATTTCCTGTCCCTATCTGCGTACCATGTGATTTTTATATTTTATTTAGGGCTGCAACTAGTGATTATTTTGCAAATCAAATATCGATTTTTTTTTTTTATTAATTGATTAATGATCAGATAGCCAAAAGCTCCTTAAAGAAGAATTTTTTGTTATCTTAAATACTAAATGTTTATATATTTTTAACAATTTTGATATAATTACTGCTCTAAGTGGGTTGCTATGTCATCTAAAGACATGTTTTACAGTTTCTATACTCCAGTTAACGATTAATCGATTGTAATATGCAAGTATTGTCTACTTAAGTTTAAAATAAAATGATGGCTTTAAATTAAATTAGATATTTGTATGATTTATGATTACATTAATGTATTTAATAAACATTATTTTATTTTCACTATTAATAAAAGCTATATAAGGATTTTTTAAATATTATGCAAAATATTATTTTTCTCAGTACTTTGATATTTTTCTCATATCGTTAATTATCTAAAAATAATAACAATAGGAATTAAAGATGTATTATATAAATTTTATATAGTAGTAATCACTATTACCAATATTATTAACAAAGATGATATTAATTGAAATTAAATAAAATAACCTATTTTGGATATGAAAATTCAGACCAATTATATTGTGTTCAAATATAAAAAAAAAAAAAAAAATTAAAAAGCGATAAACATACTGGATTAAATCTGGATTATCAGAGTAAATATAAAATATTTTAAAATGAAAAATTAAACGGTTACAAAGCCATTAAACATGGCTGAAGGAAATATTTATGTTAAACAAGAGTTTTATGGGGGTTTATGGACACTGCAACTAATTCCTTAACTGCTTACAATAATCACACAATCGAGATAGGTTCTGTCAAATTAGGTTGGAACCCCTTATTTTTGTAGAAGATCATTACCAAATTTAAAAGCATGTATTTATTTTGAGTGCGTCCAAACAGCACATAAAAGTGTTTTATTTTGTTTCTGTTTTATTTTATTTTTGTGGGTGAAAAGAGAAAACTGCTGCCTCTTCTGAGGCTGTTGCAGTGAAGTTAAAGATTAAAAGCAGAGGTGTTCAGAATGAATTAAAAGGATACTCACATCAATGAAAATTGACATTCCCTTCTTTAGCTCCATCTGAGCGCAGGGCTCCTCAGACACAGACTGGAGTTCCTCTGAACAATCCATCCTCCTCAGTGCTGCTTCAGATGTAAACTGCAGAGGAATGTGTCTGCCTGTGCTTCTTTTCACTGATAACTGCCTCAACTGAAAAAAAAAGAAACTGCTGTAAAGTCAGAGAAAATAATGTACAGTTTCCTGGCAAAAATAGTATTGAATTATAACGTTTTTGAAATTTTTTTTTAAAATAAATCTATCCTCCCTTTTTTGATTCCATCTTATGGCAAATATGTAGCTTAGAATAAAAAAAAATGTATCCATGAGTTATTCCTACAATCACCAACGCTTCTTTGAAAGGAGGTGCTTTTACTCTGAAAGGGGCCCTGCTGCGTAATTCTGGGTTATTTCTTTCACTTGATCCTAAGCTCAGTGAAACCTTTTTTATTCTGTTTTAAACTTAAAATCGCTGTATAACCTTGCTTTAGATTGTGCAAAAATTTATCAAATAAACTGATACTTCATTGGAAGAAAAACAAACAAACAAATGAGATGACGTGTAGGTCAGACAGCCCTTTATGATCAGCACAAATGTGTGGAGACAGGAGTGCTATATATAGCATGGTTTTTGTGTAGGGCTCAAAGACCTCAAAAGAGGTCAACTCGGCTGAGATGTTAAATTGTTCTTAGAAATGTACACCCTTGAGTTAGATTTTAACTTTCTTTTTTATGTGAATGTTTAAAAGTCAAATCCAAGATTGATCATGCATGTCTCGTTTCAACAGAAGAGCTTTTTATTTAAGGCTTTTTATTTAAGACCTTTTTTAATTGACTATAATAATTAAGATTTTAAAATTCATGTTGGTTAAAGTGTAACTAACTTACAGTTAGTTATGTTTTCCTATTTTTGCTACAGTTAAACTTTATCTAAAATAATTCTAACAGGAACGTGGAAATGTATCTAAGATACATGTTTTTACCTTTTTAAAAATGTACCTTTTTATTTTAATTATTACAGAATTGGATATTGGTTTAATATCCACTCCCTGTACAACGAACCAGCACCTGATAAATACGAAGCAACACTTCCATCTAGCGAAGAGCTTTGGAAATACATAAAAAGTATGCATAATACCTAGATAATTGTCAAGAATGAAGAGGCACAACATTTTATAACATCCATCATTTTTCTTAATTAAAAATACTTTAAATGATATTAATAATATTTAAATTATTATGATTTTTGTAGTTGTCTTATACCTGCTGTAAAGTCTGAAAAATAACATTAAGGTTATATGTTACGTTAATAATTATTTGATTAAACAAAATATCTGACTAAAATAATTTTCATCACCTTAACCTAAATTAAATTTAATGTAGTAGCAAACCATCATTTTATCCCGTTAACCTTTGTCCTCGTTTTAATGGATGCTCGACTAAAACTCAAGATGAACTTGCCTGCCACAACATGGCGAACGTGCTGACGTATCCTTTTTATAACGAGACGTTTTAAAAAATGAGTTATCGCGATACTATTTCTGATGGTTTGCGAGCTATCGCGATACTGGTTGCAGCTATGTGGTTGGTTCAGAATGGACTCGGTTTACTTTGCATTCTGGGAGACAAACAGTGGTCGGTATGAATAGCAGTAACATCAGCGTCCACCGCGCAGAGACAGAGACAGGACAAACAATCGGCTCACCAGCAAGCAGCAGACGGGACAAACAGTTTTTATGTCTGTTGAACAAGTCTCGTTACTTCGATAAAGGCGAGGAACCTGTGGTCTAATCTCTACACCACAACCGCTGGACTTTATCCACTAACCGATGCGGTTAGCTAACGGAGACAGTGAAATAGCTCCGCAGTGATTTGCGCCTCTCTTTTGGCTGGATGGTAAAGATGGTGAAGTATTAAAAGTTCCTCCCGCTTTGTTTATTCTTCAACTTTACCCAGCGCTGAGTTATCCCAGCTGCCAACATGGCGAATGTCAAACAAAGACGCAGCAAAACTTGCTTGTTAAAGTCGCTTGAATGGCATATTACCCAGCTAGTTTACCCAAGATAAACATTGTTGGACTGGACGGTTCTTGTGATGGCAGTTGTTGTGAGAGCAGCCCAGCTGTTGGGAACTACTGCTGGAATCCTTATCAGAGGAGCTTTTTAGGGCTGGATTTTATAACCACCCGCAGCTTCCTCCGGGTTATTTAAATCCAACTGCTGCTGGTCCCCCTGCGGTGATTTTTAAGAGGGGACCCCAACATGTCAGGGGCCACTACGGTGCAGCTCTTCACCAAGCTTGTGAAGCACTCGTTGGGCAAGACCCAGATCCAGCTGAACCGCTGGCTGCAGAGGACTGCCGTGGAGGAGTGTGATAAAATAGACATCCTGATCTGCGGCGCATTTGATGAGAGGCCGACCGGGAAGTCAGATGGAGACCCCGATATTGTCACCGACACGGCGGGGACATCCTTCAGCGGGGAGTTCAGACACCCATGCTGCATCACAACCTTCTGCTTCAAAAGCGCCCTGCTGCTCTGCATCCTGACCGCTGTCTGCTTCTCCTCAGTGGCACTAGTGCGTCAGTATCTCAAGGACCTCCTGCTGTGGGTGGAGAGCCTGGACAGCTTTGTTGGAGCCTTGCTCTTCATAGTTGGTTTAATCGTGGTTTCATTTCCTTGTGGATGGGGATACATTGTCCTAAATGTGGCAGCGGGCTACCTTTATGGCTTCATCCTGGGCATGGGACTGGTTATGGTTGGGGTTTTAATAGGGACCTTTGTGGCACACCTGGTGTGTAAGCGGTTATTGTCAGACTGGGTACTGAACAAAGTTGGGAACAATGAGCAGCTCAGTGCTGTTATACGAGTAGTGGAAGGAGGAAGCGGACTCAAAATTGTGGCCTTAGCAAGACTCACCCCCATACCATTTGGACTCCAAAATGCAGTTTTTTCGGTGAGTATTATAGCAATTATTTGGATGATCTTCACTCCAACCCTAACAGATATTCAGTTGCTTATTGCTCCTCCTGTCAAAAGGGACTTTGCACTGGAACTTGCCGTATTACATTGAAATTGATATTTAAACTGCTGCAAACTTGCTGCAAAAACCAGGGGAGTTTTTCTCAGTTCTTCAAATTCTTCAAGTCCTTTCAAGAATCTGGTTCACCTTTATCTAAACTGAGCAGATATCCTGTAAAAATCACTACAAACTTTCTAAATTAGGAACAAATAAGTGATTTTTGTACACATCAAATTTCACCTCATCAAATTTCTCTTTGTTGATATTAAAACCCAGCTTAGATTTGAGACCGGATGAGTCTGGCATATAAATACTATACACATAGATTGATCTGTCCTGCATATAATATTAATCTAAAACAAAAATAGCTATTTTTAAGTAGAGATGCTCCGATCCGATACCTGGATCAATTATTGGATCGGATATGGCCGCTTTGATATGTCAGAGATCTATTCCATTCCACATCACAAGGGGCTGTTATTTCTTTCCTTTTGCTGCTTATTTGTTAACAAGTGATATAAAGTAAATTTATATCTGTTTTTAAATATATTACCCTTTTTTTTAACAATGTTGATGTCAAGGCTAAAGCTTTCACTCACATGACAAGATGTGTGGTTCATTCATTTAACAGATGAATTGGATTGGTATTGGATACACTCACTATCCATTTGGATAAAAAACTGGATGGGTCCATCTCTATTTTAAAGCACTCAAATCCAAAAATTACATAAAAGTGGAAATTGATTTCTATATCAAAAGAGGTATAAAGCACAGCCACAGCAACCAGAGGCAAAGCCTATTATCTCAGTTAAAAGATGGGCCAATGGTTTGTTCTTGGTTTTTAATAAACATTGGCAAGTTGGAGACTCTCACAGTGTGATAAAAATAGTAAAAAATCCCACAATATATAAACACAAAGCCAAAAAAAATAGAAATAATCAAATTGCTATTACTTGATTAGAAAAAACCAACTATTTCTGATGCTGTCAAAATAATGTGATATTGGTCATTATAGTAACACATTCCATAACATTTATTTGTTGTAACTTAGATTTTTATTCAATAATTTAAAAAAAAAACATATAAAATGGAAAGCCAGTTTAATATAGCTGTAGTTTTAAGTGCTTACTGTCAAGAGCATTGTAGATTTATTTGCAATTAGAGAAACAAAAGTGAAATTCTCACACATGCAGCGTGTGCAGCCTAACCTGCACTCAACACAGATCTGTTGGAGATTATAAAATGTAATTACTAAACCTTTTTAGCATAGGAAATTAAGGATTTTTTTCACAGGAATATTTTCTTTAAAATGTTATCAAGGTCCGTAACCTACTGTGAAAACTTGTGTTATTTTATTCTGTCAAAACACAAATGTTCATTTTCTCAAATGAAAAACAAGTCAACACCTGCTAATGAACATTTTCAGAAAGAGTCAAAATAGGTATTCTGTTTTATTTTGAGGACTTTGTGATAATGCCATTAAAAGCTATTTAATTCCTTTGCTTAAACTGTTTACTCCTATGGTTTATAGCAAACTGAAGCAATTAATAATGAATAATTGATAATTGGATGGAATGAATGCCAACTAATTTATTAGTTAGCGGAGTATAGAGACTATAAAACACTGTATTTGCCCAACGACCCACCAACCCTGAGCTTAAATTAAGTCAAAAATTAAATCTACATACATTTCTCCATGAACTCTTTTAGTTTGAGCTTTACTTTTATGAAATTCACTGAAAAATCTCCTTAAATATCCAAAATATTATTAACCGATTAAAAAAAAAAGGTTATAGACAGAATAATTAATTAGCAACTTAATCTTCAGATGCAACCCTAATAATGGGCATTATACAGATTTTAGATGGTTTTACTCTTACTTTTACATCTCAAGGTACAGGATACAGTAAGTTCAGAGATGCAGAGGAATGCACAATGTAAATAATGCAGAAAGAATATTGAATTTCTTGATGACGACAACAGGAACTGCTTTCAGCCTCTGTGTGCCATGGAAAATGCTGGAAAATATATTAAAAAAAAAAAGAAAATGTTGGCAGCCTTTTGGAAATGTCAGAGTTAGAGTATGGGTCAGCATTCTCTCAGAGACACACATGAAACCTGCTGTTTTCCTAATGCCAGCTTCACCGTCACTGATGTATCACGCTAAAGCCAGTTTAAAATGTTTACTCATAATTGTAGTTTTATAGTATTAGAAAAGCATTTTTAGACTCCTCTCTCACACTGGCAGCGTTTCATTACCGCTGCTTCATATCTAAATAATTGACCACAAGAGGGGTAGAATGATATCTATAACATTTCTAAAGAAAAAAATCAGCTCATCAAAAATGGGTATAGCCAAGAAATTTCCCTTAAAACTCTTTATCTGGGTGCTGCTACTTTAAACTGTAGAAACAGGTTGAAAAATATTTGATTTGCTGTTTTCATAACCTTGGTACCTTGATGCTAACACACCACCCACTCCCATTCTGATGGTGAAATTGGTGACCTTCTTAATTTTGCAGCAAAGTGAAGTGAAGTTCTCTTTTGCTGGGCCAGCTGACACTCAAGGGAAATTACAAAAAAATCCAGAAGGGAGTCAAGAACAGCTTTTACTATTTTAACTCAGTCGTTCTTGTTACTTTCCTCCTGAAGGCAAACACAAGTCTATTAGCTGATCATAAAAGACATCCCCCACAGAAAAGAAGGTTCTTGCACTGCTTCTATACATTCACCCCTTTTCAATGAAAATGTAAACTTGATCCAGATGGCTAATAAAGCTAAACGATACGATTGCTTCCCTCAGTACTGATAACCTTAACCTGAAACCTTGACCTTCATATGTTGTATAAATACTTATATAAACCAGTGGTTCCCCCATCGTGGTTCATCGTAGCCGTAGTGTGTTCAGATTATAAAAGCAGATTTATTTAGATATTTGCAGATAGAACATCGTGCAATTTTCTTTTTAACCATAGCTGTTTTTCCGGCCATTGTTAATAGAAATCCATGTTGGTGAAGTTTAAATTTTCTACTTGTGTCTTTAAAAAAAATCTCCCATGTGAGCTTCCTTGGTCCTCTTGTGTGCTTCTCTGATTGATGCGCTCCTTTTTTGCTTTAGGTGACCGGTCGTGTCTTGGTATGTTTACAGCTGATCCATGTACTCAGTTTTGAGATGATGGATTAAGAAATGATCGCAGTTTGAGTTGTTTTATAACCCAAGTCTGCTTGATGCAAGCAGACTTTGCATAACTTAGCATCATTGGACTTTTTCGTTCACTTTATAATTATAAAAATCGCTAAAGGATTTAGCTAAATATCAAAATTAAAATCAAGCACATCTGAGATTTAAACATTTCTTTTTGTTAAATTGCAGTTATATTGCTAAATGCAATTCACATCTCATCCCTAATTATAGAGTACTTTGTGTTGTTCTACTTTGTGTTGATCCTAGTAAAATACATGGAAATTTGAGGCGATAAAAGTTGTACAGATAAATTGTTCCACAGTTCTGAGAACTGGGAGGAACTCTGGAATGACGTTATCAGTTTCATTCTTTGGAGATGGTTCGCCTTTCTAAGAAATGTCACTTTACCTGAATGATGTCTGTCTCACACTTCATATGAGACAACTAGAGCAGATAATAACCATCTTAGATCGTTAAACAGATTTCTTAATGTTTTTTTTTATTTTTTAGGGGAACTTATTTTTAGGTGAAACTTTCTTAAGCTATATGCCTGATTAGAAAAATCCAGTTAGATGAGGCTAACATTTTGTCCAAACTCTGTAAAAAGCATCCGTTACAGGTCCTAACCAGCCTAACATACAGCATTCAAAAACGGATGCAACTGGGTAACTAGAAAGTCATTTATAGCTCAGAGCACATAGAAGGTACAGAGGGAGAAAGAATGATTACGTCTCATTTCAACAATACCTGTCATTGTAGGATGAAAAACCAGCAGCTTTTCTCTGAAATACCAGCTACTTTATTTATTTAAATTCTATGTTGCTGCAAGGCTATAAACTGCAGCTACCCAGAAGTATTTTAAGGATCCATCCTTTATTAGGATTGTATCAATGTTATGACTGCTGATTTTCAAGTTTTTTGTTGTTTTTTAGGTTGGCAGTGATTAGAATTAAAATGTAGTGTTTGTTTCCTCTTGATTCAACAGTGTTTGCTTTATCATTACGGACTGGGACTTTAGACATCTCTAGTTTCAGTTTGACATGAGATCATCCCAACCTTAAGGTATGGATTACAAGCTGGGAGGGATTGTGCTGCGCTTGAACTTTTGGGGGATCTATTAGAAGCATCTCACATTTCAATGATAGAGCTTTGACATTAGAGATGACCAGTGAGCTTATAGCAGCATTGAGTAAAAAAAAAAATATATATATTTTTTGAGAAATAGATCCCAATTTAAGATTTTTTTCCCCTTTGTTTCCACAGTTGTATTACAGAAATCAAGAAAATGGTTTTCTATTCACTGGCCATTTTTATTTATTCCTTTTTTTTCTAACTGGTTGAAAATACAGGCTGAGTGGTTGCAACACTCTGTCTACAGTATCTCTGCATCTAAAGGTTGGTTTGCCTCTCATGTCAGAGTGACACGTGTGTGACTTTAACCTTGGACGCTGCATTAACTCCTGTGTACGGCTCTGCAGAGGTGATAGCGAGATGTTAAAGAGACAGACGTTCTGTCTCTGTGGTTCGCTTTATTATTCTCCTTCAAGTCTGTTTTAAAAAAATCTATAGATGATCATATGGCATTGCTTGTTGTTGGAAGACAACTCAAATACTAGCAAATTAAACCCTATTTGCCACTTTAAAAGTCCTGTATTTGGCCTCTTCTCATCTCATTCGGGTGCCTGTAAAGTAATGTAGATTGTATCAGTTTTCAGTTTTAGATATGAAAAAATCTGATTGTTCTCATCTGATCCTGAGTCTCAAGGCGAGTTTGTCCAGCAGCTAAGCAATGCTAAAGGAATTTATTTACTCACTAGATTTGAAACAGAAAAAGGGTGCTGCCTAAAAGCACAAAAACTGATTGTGTATGCAGTTTGACACGGTATAAAGGCAGTCAATGAAAAAAAAGATCCAAACAGTTAATAGTAGCACAGTTGGTATCAGGCAAAGAGGCACAGCTTTACATAAGAACATACAGAAGTGCACTTCCAAGGGGGGATAAAATTTTTAAAAAGACTGTCCTTTAAGTTCACCCAAATGTTAAAATGTGAACAGCCTACAGTGATGACGAAAAGTCAGACTGTTATGTATTTTCTCCAGCATATATATGACTGTTTTAAATCAGACCTTTAATGAAATGTTAAAGATTCATGCTGAAGATGGACTGGACCTTTTTTTATTTTTTGTTTATTAACCTAATCACAAAAGTTCATCCGTGTGAAACAGCTTGGTTCCAGCTGCACACAAACGCCCCAGCCGAGCTTTCACCAGGGACCTCATCAGGTCCGGCCAGATGAAGGTTAATAAGACGAATCCCCTTCTCCACCTGCTTCCTCGGCAGTATTTTCACCTTCCAGTCCTGAGGGGGTTTAAGACCTTCCTTGAAGTCTCACCCTCTCGTTATAATTTATCCCACAAGGAGGCTCATTACTAAGCTGAGCTGCTAACTGTATCCCAACAATCACATCCCCAACAGTATACACAGAAAGACGCCACTTGTGGCAAAATAACAGCAAACAGACTCATGCATGAGTTCAGTTTTGTCCAGTCTGCTTTAAAAGTAAGCACTCTCACCAAGCTAGGCTACATTTGCTTCGGCTGAAGTAGATTAGCCTACATTATAGTTGGAAACCTAAAACGACCTAGAGATTGCAGCAGTTTGTAAAAGGATGGGACAGCTCAGGGAAAACATGTTTTTCCAGGACAAATTCAGCAGTTTAAGCATGCTTTATTATCCAGAGCATCCTCTAATGTTATAACGAGCAAATAAAGGAATTAGGACACCCATTATTTTGATTTATAGACTCATCTGTAGAAGCAAATATGTGGGGGTTGTATTTGGGCACAGACAAACAGGAAATCAGCATTACAGCTGCTAAAATGTTTCTCTGTTCAGATTAGCCTACTTACGGTTTTGTTTATGACTGTACTGTCAGACGTGTGCAGCTGCTTATCTGAATGAATCAGGCCAAACCCAGGATGGGAAGTTTTTTTTTTTTCTTTTTTCCTCGGATTTGCAGATCATCTTAATGTAGATGCTTACACAAGCAAGTAGGAGGTTCAGTAGGAATTGTCTGCATGGTTATAAAAATACCAACAAACAAGCACATCCCTGGATGAATGCCAGACAGCTGCAAGATGCCTGACAGGGAGAGGCTTTTTAAAAGTCATCCATGACTGCATTTCTGCTGAAAGCTTATTGTCAATATATGCGACATGGCTGCACAGTCTGAAGGCTTTCATTAAAAAACATTAAGTGGTAACATCAGTTACCTTTAGAAAAGCTTTTGGCTCCTAGGATTCCTGAAAAAGTCCGGAAAACTCTAAGAATTTATTTCATTTTTTTTTTAAATTTAGGCGATAAAAGATATGTATGCTAAAAGAATATGTAAATTATGTCATTTCCAGACTTTATGCTCAATCAAATCAATTTTCTATCACTTTTTCTTTGCACTATATAAATATCTGCCATCATTAATTCATTTTTATTGCCTTCCATTTACTTTGGATGTGTTATTTTAAAATATTTACATGTAAAATGGATTTAAGATTAATATTTGCATTCAGACACTTTGTACGTTCAAGCTCTGATAACATTTTGGCACAGGCTGCATCCTGCAGTAGCCTCCCCCCTGCTCACCGCTATCAGCCAGAGTCTGGACAAAGTGCAGACGGAGCCAAGGTCACATCCCCAACGTAGCCCACGTTGTCACGCCTCAACTTATGTCATCACTTAATCAAGGGATCAAGGGTGACAAACCCAGACGTTTGTTTATATATAGGCAGCTGCAGTGAGACGCAAAATAACATTGAGCAGGATCCGTGGTGAAGTGTGTTTAGAACACGGTAGTTACACCGTATCACTGCTGGAATTTGCTTGTCAGCTCAACAAGATCTTCTTTTCTTACTCTGACTCAAATAAGAAATTTGAAAGCAAACGGTGCATCTGTGGTTTAGATTAAATTACTGAAGTAGATGCTAACAAAACCAGCTACACATAATCTTCTATGATGTGGTTTTTATTGCTGCAAAACAGGAAAGAAACAGATTAGAGGATTATGGCTATTTTTTTCCTTGTTTCAATGTTGCTGTTACAGGCCTTTCCCCTCACCCTGTGTTTGCTTCAAATCTTTAATTTGTGTTCAGATTAAATAATGTATCCTTTTTTTCACACGGGATCATGTTAGTGCAAGAGTTTTACAATGGAGGCAGTAAGTTTGTTTACTTCTGTACCTATTGCTGGAAATATAAAATGATACTACATCACATTGAAATATAATCATACAATTAAAATTTCTTATCTAAAGAGGAAGCTTAATGCTACCTTGCTCTGTTTTGATAGTAGTAAAGTCTCTGTTTATGCTTTAAGATCACAGATGTGTCCTTGCCAAACTACCTGGTGGCCTCCTCCGTTGGTCTGTTGCCCACTCAGCTCCTCAACTCCTACCTGGGCACCACCCTGCGCACCATGGAGGACGTCATTGCTGAGCAGAGCATCAGCGGCTACTTCGTCTTCAGCCTGCAGGTGAAAAAGTTTTAAATATTAAAATGTTTGTTTTTTGTACATAAAGCCACCTCTGTTCTTATTTCAGACAAATCAATTACGAATCCCAGAACAGCTTGAAAAAATATAGTTAATTCTGTTTTGTTAGATGTTTATGTTCAAGGGGTCTAGTCGTACCAGCCCTGTGTGACCCTGATGGACAAGTGGTAGATTACGCTGGATAAGGCCTAATTGCATAGCTTAAAATTCCTTTTAACTCATTTAATCTAATTTTTAGTTGCAAAATTGTCTTGATAATTATTTTAATTACTTTTAAATACTAAGAAATAAGGCACATTTTAATTTGAGTTTAAAAATAATCAAAGTCGTGGTTAATAATGGGACATATTTACATATTTTGACCATAAAAAATTATAGAAAAAATGGGCTTCATGCAACAAGCTTGTCATAAATTTCACTTTTTCTCCTACTGTGGGTTTTTAACTCGCACCACATCAGATTCAACAAACATTCTTAACTTCAGTAAATCATCGTAAATGATCCTCGTAAACCTGATGCCCTCCAGCTGTGGGTAAGTGAGCACACACTACCGAGAAATTGAAATCTGCATAATTACCGCCCTTGTAATTCTGTATAAGACTACCACTTCCAGCACTTGTCAGAAGGTGTTCATTCATAGAAATAGCAACGAAGATGAAGCAGAAAAAAAAAACCCTGGTGACTGAGATCTGAGCAGCAGAATTAGAGGACCAGTGAAAAGCCAAGCAGTGAGGGATAAATCATAAATGCCGTGGTTGCACTTTTACAAAAGTAAAAATAAAAATGTCCCCTTCGAAGAGCTTCAAACAGCAACCTGTTGCTGAATCTCGTTTCTGAACTTTGCATATATTTCCTGCTGCAGATGTTATTTCAATAGTAGCTTGATCTCACATACATCCCTCTGACTGTTCTTTCTTTTGATGAAAAGACAACAAATTAAACCAGTGTCCTCTCGATACTGAGATGCCAACTGCAGGTGTAGTGAATAAAAATGTAATTTATAATTGCAGAGTTGCATAATATATAATGATATAGCCTAATGAAACATACATTTGCCTCTAATTAGCAGCAAATGTATGAATTTAGTTAAAAACTAGGCTGGGATAACACCCTGTCGATTGTGCAAGACTCCTATATCAACTGTGGAGAAGATTAGAAATAGGAGTAAAATTGTAAATGCAACATTTTCTCCTAAATCACTCGTATAAACAATTTCATATTGAATTTTTTCATATGAACGCTTCTAGCATGAGCCCCATTAGGCAAGCTACCACTTTTTTGTTCTTCAGGTAAAACAGTTCAACATTTGGTAATAAATGTCTAAAAACAATGTTGATATAAATAAAAAAAATGTTGCCTTAATAAAACAATAAGTTTACCAAAGTTAGCACAGGAATTTATGAAAGGTTTGACATTTAGATGCATTTCCATCTATAAAAATGTCACTTGGAAAAGAAAAAATGTCATTGCATGTGTGGTTAGTTTGACATCAAAAGTTTAAAGAGCACATAAATACTTTGGAAATGTCTATAAGGGGTATTTGACGCGAGCAGAAGAAAGGTCAAATGGATGTGCTTTTTTGTGAAATAAAAAAAAACCTGCAAGGAATAACTTCCTTCAAAAGTGAGGGGGCGCATTCAAACATAGAAACATGCACAAATAGGAAGCATTTAAGAAATACTAACCTATATAATCTGTTTTCATATCAGATATGCAGAATCTGGATACCAAAGATTCCATACTTACCTGTCTTTTGATTAAAAGCTCCTGCCTAAAACCAATAAATCCTTCAAAAGACCAGTGACTCCTAGTGGCTTAATTAAGGTCATACACAAATATATTTAAAGAAGAAAAAAAAAAAAGCTTCTGCAAAACTAAAATGACCAAGACCTAAGAATGAACCATTGTTGGGTTGTTCATCTCCACAGATCATCATCAGTATTGGCCTGATGTTCTACGTGGTTCACAGAGCTCAGGTCGAGCTGAACGCCGCCATCGCTGCCTGCCAGATGGAGCTCAAGTCTACGCACATGAACGGCTCTTCCACCAATCACAGCGGCTTCTCATACTGCAGCAAGAGGGCGACATTTGGCAGCGGAAACTGCATCAATGTGGTGTGACGTCAAGTGGCTACGCAGTAGGACCTTAAGGCTCAACTTTTAAGACTAGAGATTAAAAAGGAACCCACAGAGTTCTGGAGTCCTGAGCAAACTGGTGGCGACATTTACCATTTGTTAATCATATTACAGCTGGAATAAAACCCTGAAAGGGGCTTCGTTCCCTAGATCCTTTTTGTCGACACATTTGGACCATGATGGGACCACGCACCTTTTTAAAAAAAACATGGTGCAGTGAAAATTCTCTTTTGGTTCGTCATCCTAAGTCCTTTATTTGTTGAATTTGTGAAGGTACCTCTTATCTGCTGTTACAGGAGATGTCAACTAAACTTTCATAAATGTTAGGGGTGGCATGAAACAAAACTAGGCAACAACCACCGAATGGTGTTTTTATGAATGTGCAATCTGGAGCTTTCTAGAGAACCAAGGAATCAGTTTTCTGTTGCCAACCTATGCACCTTTTACTTCATACGGTACTGTTTTCGTTTAATTTCAAGTGACTTCGTCTTCACCCAGTGCTTATTTACAGGAAAATATTAAGGGCATTATTTGTACTTAGAATAACTTTTGCTTTTGTTGTTAATGGGTTTTTAGTCTCTTCATTTGGAAAAGCTCTTCTGCCGGTTTATTACCGCCCCTGCTGATTTGGTTGGGCTGTTGGAAGAAGAGCAGCTTTCCCCGTAGGAAACTCAGGAATGCCTCTTAATTTAAGTTTGAAGCCAGGGAAAGATTCCTGCTTTGATTTATTTTTCTGATAATTTCAGGATTTCATTTTACATCTTTGTTTGACTTTTTTTTTTCCCCAGCTGTGAGATTAAGGAAATAATTAAAATTAGTTAACATAAAAAAAAAAATTATTTATTTTAGTAAATAAATATATGTAAAGTGAATCCGTTACATTTCAAGTGCTTGTTTTTGTTAAACGAATTGTGGCTAAAAGTTGATAAATACTTAAATTTAGTTTCTCAGAAAATTACAGAATATGAACACTCAAAAAAATGTTTTTTTTAATACAGAAATGTTTTCACTTATATAGATACACTTAGCATAAACAGATCAATACATGTAAAAGCCAGCTGCTCACACAGGGCTTTGTCCAAACTACTAGAAAGTTGAGTGAAAGGAAAACATATCTTCAAAAAAAAGTTTAAATTTAGACTTAATTTCCCCAACAGGACTTGATGGCTACCCACATTGTCAAATGTACCAATGTGTAGTTTGTTCGGCCAGTAGGCACTTAGCTTGGTTCGTTTGCAAAGGATTGTTTCCATAACCATATAAAGAGCCTGTGGATTATTGCCAATTTGGGGATATTCCTTTAATTATGCTTGGATACAACACTAGCTAGAGCTTATTTTTCTTAGCAACGCCCCTTTGAATATTTACTTTGATTGTGAAGATTGTTGGGCAACTGACCATTCAGCATTATTTGCTGGTTCGCATAACATTTCTGTGTTAAAAACGTTTTTTTTTTTTAAGTCATATGCAATGATATAGTTGACTGAAAAACTATACTTTTCATTTTGATTAACTGTGCTTTTATCACCAACATCAAAATAAAAACTTGAGATATATATATATATATATATATATATATATATATATATATATATATATATATATATATATATATATATATATATATATATATATATATCTCATACACCTGAATTTCGGTTTTTGAATAAATTACTTAAGTGAAACTTTACCTGTAAGCTGTACCTGTAAATAGTTTTTGTCTAATGTTCCCAAATCAGTGCAATAGTTCATAAAAGATTAATGAAAGGACATGAATGTCATATTCAGTGTTGAAACCAAACTAATCATGCTTAAAAAGTATCCCTAACCTAAGTCAGATTTTCCTTTAGGTTTTAAACTATTAATAAACTGAAATAGAATAATTATTTTTCTGAACCATTAATAAGTAAAACCGCTAACTTTATTTAGCTACTTGATGAACCAGATTTCTTTGCACAGTCTCCTGAAGCTGACCAATATTTTCTTAAAGGGTTGTTTAACTTGGAAGGTGTTTGGTTGATCTAAAGTCTCAGAAGCTGACAATCAAACAAAATGTGGACACTATGATGAATGTGATGCTATGTGTTGGTTTGTTTTTACACTTCTTATGATGCTGCTCCTCAGACATAGTCTGGTTGAGGAATTAAAAAGGGCTTTTACCTAATATCCATTTAGAATCACAGGAAAATGATCCTGGCAGATCTTGTTTATTTTCCCCATTCTTATTTTTTATTTTTTTTTTCAAACTTTCTGCTAAAATCCAGAATCGTTTGTCCAAAAAACATTCCATATGGTCAATCCTATAATTAACTGTTATTTTCCCTATTTTTGCATTTTTTTTCCTGTTTGAATTTAGCAATAATATTTGACAGTAAAAAGCAAAAAAAAACAAAAGGAATAAAAACATGTAACTAATATGACAAGCCAAGTGTCTGGAACTGTTCAGTCCTGCTGTTGAAAATGTTTAAAATGTCACGTCAGAGTTGTTAGTTGATCTGTATTTAACATGTTTGTGTTTAACCTGCCTTTTACCTCCTGCTGCCTCTGATGTTCTGTTAAGGGAGCAAACAAAATGCGACAGTTTGTTGCACTTTGTTTGGAGAATCCCTGAAACTAAAGATGATGAACTTCTCACTGCTGTTGCATGAACATCTTTAAGCTCAGTCTGGAACATTTGGGGCTAACTAAAGAGGATATTTTTAAACCATTCTGTTAGAAAAGCATGTGTCCCCAAAACTATAATGGGATTCAAGAGGTAAAGGTGTGTTTTTAAAACACATTGGATTGTGGGAGGATGTTTTTTGGGAATTGGTTTTGTTCTTCCTAGCCGGGCTCTACTTAACTTAGATATAGTTATGCAACAACTGATTCCTGAGGGAAGTATATTTCATAGAGAACCACAGAGGACCCGAGTCTACACACCTGGGCTGTCCCAGAGGGCAGCTGGGTGGCTAACAGAACAAGACGAGGGTCTGGTTTGGTGCTATGAAATGCAATACTTCCCCATTTGTATCAAGTGCATTACACATATGCTGTATTTTTAATACAGAGTTTTACAGTGCATAAATGCTATTTATCACTGTACAAAGCTTGTTCAGTGTTATTTATGAAAGAGAAAATAAAACTTGACAGACTTTGTTATATCTGTGTTTGCTTTTCCGTCCTTTTTTCACGTGTGAATTTAAAGTCCAGATTTCACCAAACCTGAAGTTTGAAAATCAGCCTGCTTTAAATCCGCTTAAATTTCCAACTTTTTCAGACCCTAAATATTTATGACTTAATAAATCAATTAATCATAGCCTTATAATTAGTAATAATAAATATTCAAGAAATAAATATTACATTTTCAAGCGACCTTTGTTTCATAAATTATTTCCAGGCAATGTATTATACTTTATAAAATATAAGTATATTTTGATAAATTTTGTACAAAATATATGTATTTATATATAACAACACAGCTCTCTCTCGATATAAATACACTATTTAATGTAGTATTGAATAAATAAATCAATTTATTCATCTTAAGACGCACAATATTAATGTAAAATTTGATTTTTAAAGCATGAAACTATACTATATACTCAGAAATACATATATAAACATGAAAACTATATATATATATAATATATAGTATAAAGAAATGTAAACAAATGTTTATATTGCCATATGTATTCACTGACATATGAGCTTCAGTGACATCCATTCCTAAACAATAAGGGTTCAATATCAGAGCTGGGTGGCATACCCAAGAATTGTACTTAACTCTTTATAGGGCACTCAGTGAAAGACTTTAAATATCTAAATTAAGTCATTTTCTCTTAAAATACGTGCATTTTTTTCTTAAATGAGCAGGTAAATGAGACACTTTGTAAATGGAATAAGAAAAGTTACATTTAAAATAAGGGGAAAAAGTGCAGTCTCCTATTTCAAGAGCATAATATCAAATAACTTGATTTAAAGGATAAAAATGATTCTTCCACTGGGAGATTTACTTATTTACCTACTCAAATTAAGGGTAAACACACATATTGAGACACATTCACACACATTTAGAGAACATTTGTAGAGTGTGATAGGAAAAGAGAACAACACACCATAATATCTGTAACACAAAAAAAAAATAGAGATATTTGAGAGCAAAAAAAAAAATCAAAATACAATAACAACAAAAAACAACAACCCGCAAGAAAATAAGAAAAAAAACAAAAGTGCTTCTATAAGAAATTCATTCAGGTTATGTTCCTTAAATTTGGTCTTCAGCAACAAATAAAATTGTGTTTCTTGTTTGTTTTTAAATAGTAAACTTCTTTTATTACTACTGAAAGTTCTCTATTTATCCTCATCCCTGTGCAATATATGCTCTTAGTTTCTGATTTTTCTTTTAACGATGCAAACATCTCCAGCACTGTCAGAACTAATAATAACAATAATAATAGTGGCTTGTGGGTCAGTTTGTCGTAGTGATTTTGCAGTTAAGCACTGATGGGTGCAGTTAGGGTGCTGTAGACTGGAGCACTACTTAAGGATGTGACAACATGTGTGTAGAGGGGGAGATTAATGTGTGTGGTGAACACTTTGGATTGGCCAAGGGATGTGAATCTCAGACTATAGATATATAGACTATAGATGTTCCAGAGACCATTCACACAGAAATAAATCTTCTCCTTGCCTGAAATGCTGCAGATTGCTATAGCACCGACTCTTCTCACTATCTGCTGATCTCCTCTGGACTGGGGTCAGATCTGAGTCAGATCCATCATCATCTAACGCTGCACAAAGGACAAAGCATGTCCCAGAGGGTCCCCATTAGCAGAAACTCTTCAGGACAGATCTAAGTATATTCAATGTGACGGGGCTCCTAAAAGGAGCTGCAGCCATCACTGAGGGCTCAGCTCCTAAAATATATGTGAGCCTGATGGTTCTGGATGGGACAAGGAGTGAAATGATAAAAGAGGCTGAAGGGAGAAAGTGAGATAATGTTGGAGCACATCATTCCAGCCTTCTGGGTGTAAAACTTATGGTGCTTTTGTGGAGCAGGAAGACAGAAAGATAAATCACATGACTGGTGTCTCCATATGTGAGCTGCTCGTGATCTCTCAGAGTTAAAGGCTGTGCACACAGCTGTGAAAGCTTTTCTACCTTAATCAGGATAAAATCCTTCTGAACTTCTGCTGACTTTGTGTGTTTTTAGAACAAAATGTGCCATTTACATGAAGGGAAATGCACCACAAAGCCAGAAAATCACAAATTGTTCCAGTTTGCCTTAAAAAACAAGGCAAAACACATTAAGCCACAATTACAGCAGATGCTTATGTTTTAGTGTGCACAGAGGGATTTTATTGTAGTGTCCTTGTACGGAAACCAGGAAGAGAAACAAGAGGGCATGATGCTACCAGAGAGTCAATTCGGTGTGTTCTGCTTATGTCAGTCTTTTCACTCTGTTAAAAAAAAAATGTTGACCTTTTTCCTTACCTATGTCTTCTTTTGACTGATTTATGTAACACTTCAAAGTTTAATATCATGAACTTTAGGGGAAAAGTGATCCAAATCAGACAGGCTGTCTGTGAAAAAGTGAAGTTGCACAAACCAGATCAGTGGTTCTAGATGGCAGCTGTGGGGGATTGGTCTAAAAATATTGGTTTTCAACCAATCATGTTTTATCAAGGGCCCAGATTGTTGGTTTTTAACCAATAAATTAGTTTGGGTTGTTCTCTTTTAATTAAAAATAGAAGAAAAAAAACAGAATTTGTTTTCTCCCTGCTTTATCTTTTATATTACCAACCTATTTTGCTCCCAGTTAAGTTTCATCCCAGTTAAAGTCCTTAAAGCTCATCTGAACTCCCATTCAAGCTAAATCTGGTTCCATTAACCCTTCAAATTTTCCAGGACTTTTACTTTTTTAAAGCTCTGCAATTTATTGCTGCCATCTAGTGGTAGTATTCAATAACTACTTATGTTTAAAAAACGATGCACCATGTCAGAAAACAGATGCAGTTATTTTTTGTCTCTGTGTTTTTATTCATGTTTGATGTATTTATTAATTTTTGTTTGATGCTGCAACCTTTATCATTAGATGATCACGTGAAAAGCCTCAGGCTTCCGTCAGAGACGTACGATTTAGTTGTGATAAAAATTTTAACCTCAGCTGGAGTTTCCAAACAGCTTTAAAGTTTATTAGCTTCTTTTAAAACAATTAAGAGATAAACGTAATCACATAAAGACCAGATAATAACAAGCAGCATAAGGTCAGGAAACAGAAAAAAAAGATCAGGGTAAGAGATCTAAAGCAGCTTCCAGCTGTTTACAGCATCTCTATGCTGCAGCGAAGCTACAGTAAATGCCCCAGTGATCACTGGTGTAGCGGCCACAGTCCAGCTTCTCCAGTCCGATTAGGGCCATGTGATCCGGTGCCAGACATGGGATTCCTTCCTTGGAAGCTGGCCGGAAGTAGATGCGGTCGAAGCGACAGCGGCTGACGAAAGGAACGGTCTTGTTGGTGTTGGCTTTGGTGTCCCATGTGTAGCGGCAGTGCTCCTGCTTGC